GACCAACTGGCTTTTTCAGCATTGATTTTCTTGGAGGTTTCAGTAGCCAGACCTGCTGAGCTTTTCCAGCAATTTCTGTTTTTATATCAGAATTCATATTGGCAGAGATTAAATTAATACTAATTGAACAATGTTCCATGTTTTGACAGGTGCCAGTGATGACGCAGTCAGTTGTGCTGTTATGCTAGAAGTTCTAAATGCGCTGTCTAATTCGTCTATTCCCCTGCAACATGCAGTCATATTTCTTTTCAATGGAGCAGAAGAGAATGTTTTGCAAGTAAGTATAGCATTTACTGATATACTGGGATACTTGCAACACACAAATTACATAGTATTAGCCTTGAAAACCACAAATGCTCGAGATCACAGTGGGTCAGGCAGCATCCATTGAGAGAGAGCAAGCTAAAGCTTTGAATCTAGATAACTGTTCATCAGAGCTAAATGAATTGTGGAGGAGGCAGCATTATGCTGTAGTTTGTGGGGGTGGGCTAGGTGGGGTGGAGGTTGGTGTGGGGTGTAGAGTGGTGGGGAAAAAAGATGTTGATAGTTCAGATTCCAATCACTTAATCAGAGCTATCAATATCTTTTCTCCCCACCACTACACCACCCCACCCAACTATAGCATAAATGCTGCCCCTTCCATACTTCAGCTCAGATGAGCAATCATCTAGACTCGAACATTAGCTTGCTCTCTCTGTGGATGCCTCCTGATCCATTGTGATCTCCAGCATTTTTGTTTTCAGCACAGATTCCAGCACCTGAAATTTTTTGCTCCTATGTTACTAATCTTTTTAACCTTAAATGCTCAATCTTGTATATGTTTTATATTTTGGTAGGCAAGCCATGGATTTATTACACAGCACCCTTGGGTTAAACTAATAAGGGCATTTATTAACCTGGAAGCTGCTGGTGTAGGAGGGAAGGAGCTTGTTTTTCAAACAGGTAACCAATTTATTGTCTGTAGTGGAGACTGTGGTTGTTTTACAATGCCTGTTATATGTCTTGTATTTAATTAAAACATCAAGGAAAACAGTAGGCAGGAAGAGCTTCCTAAAATCTGCTACTGTATTTTTAAAATTCTCATTCATGCAGTCTGTTTTTACCCTTCCCTTTTGGGTTCCTTTCCACGTCTATCCGTACTAATGAATCAGTCTATATTATTTTCCATTTGACCTGAAAAAGAATTATAGCTGATGGTAGTCTGCTTTAATTTGTGCTATTTTCTGTTCTTGCTTCTCCCTCCTATCCAGAATACATTTTTACCCTGTCTTTCCGTTATTTCCACTTCTTAATTCTACCAGACCAGCTGGCTAAGGTCAGGAAATCTGACGCTTTGAATGTGAGTTGTGTGACACTGATATAGTTCACCAACAAAACATCTTGTGTCCCATCAGTTTGCTGCAAACACAATTTGCTGCAAAAATTTTACAGGTGGCCAAGAAATCTGAGAACAAGTGTTATTCCAATTTATGATTTGACTGCAATTATTTTGACCTACATAGGTAGATTTGTTTTTCTGCTTAGCTGGTACTGTTACCTCCTAAGTGAACCACAGCTGGGTATCCCATTCCCACTGACTTTGTTTTTATAATGTCAACAGCTAATGTGATGTGGGTTGTATTGTTTACATTGAGTTTGCACGAGGTTCAGTTAAGAAGACTGATCAGAGAAAGTTAGAGGTTTTTACTGTTTTTGTCCCCTGGAGGTTGGGGACTGATTTGAAATGAAAAATTGGTATGATAATGATTGTATGTTAACTTCAAGCTACCTGTCTACTTTAAGCTGCGGTTGTAACGTAGGATATCTGTGCTAGCATTGGGAGCTCCCAATGTTGGTCTTATTTTCCAGTTTTTAATAAGTCATATCTTCTGCTACTAAAGCCATGTATATACATGGGTGACCTCCATTCTTGATGACGCCAACACTTTTGTTGGGTTTCTATCTTCTAAACCCCACAAACTTCAAAATTGGGCTGCAAGTATTCTCTCCCCATTAAGTCACTATAGCATGCTCGATGGTCAAATGAACCTATATTGGTTTTCTGTATTTACCATCTTAAATTTTCTTGCTTTTGTTTTATAAAGCCCTCCATGACTTCATCTTATTCTCATTGCACAATCTCCTGCAGCCCCATTCCCCATCCCTCTTCTCCCACCCCATCTCTGGCTCTTGTGCACCTACTTCCATCTCTCAATTGGTAACAGAATATTCAGCTACATAGATCTTACCATCTGGATTTCACTTCCTGAATCTCTGTGTTTCATTTGGTTCTTTTGGTTTGAAAAAAACCCCTCCAATCCCATCATCTTATTTGTTTGTTTGTACAGTGCATTATAGGTTTGTGACTGTGTTGCATTAAATAAATTGTACAGTTGCAGTAAAAATGGGATTTGTGATGGTTCTGTGCAGAGATTGTTGAGAGATTTGTTTGGAAAATGGCACCTGATAAAGAAAGCATCCCATTTATAATATGCTTCCTCCTAGCTACAGATGTAAAATCATACAAGGCAAGTGGGTAACACAGCATGCATTCACTTTGGCCTAGACTTGAGCTCAACCTATACTGATAGAAACAGGTTGGATCTTGCACCATTTTATTCTGTCATAAAGTAGATGTGGGATATTACATATAATCATGAAATCTTGACTGAAACATTAACGACTTAAACAGCAAGTGCTTTGACTTTCTATCAATAGATCTTTCAGAATGGCAGCAAGTCAAGCTTTGACATTTGTACATTAGTAAGCTGAACGAACCCATACTGAAGCAGTGCTGCCATAATGATGCTGAAATGGGCATTTTAAATTAATTCTGGTGTCAGGAGAAAACCTATCAGTGGTTTCTGGGGTATTATGTTGGCGTCTAGTGTTACTGATTAATATGGTACTCATAACAGTGTCTCTTAGGTTGCATCTGCAATGGTGGAATTTGTGTGAGGTAGTTTTGTTTCACGCTAGGGGTAAAGTTCATGTACATTTGGAGTTGGGTTTGTGACCTCATTCACCCCAAGAGATGTTCCCTGCAGGAGGAAGCTTTATTCAATTTTACTGCAGTTGGATCAAGGCTTAAATCTGGATTTTCACAAAACTTTGGAATTGATATGAAGTGGGACTGCTCCTCATGTGCTTTTGCATTGTAAATGAATAAAGCAACATTTCACATTGCAATCTAAAACATTGACTGTGGACCTGGTTCTATGCAGTTACCCAATAACACTAAATATATGGAGGTTCTAGTAATGTTTGATTTCTTGAGATGATTATCTGGCTTATTTAAGTTTTATCGGTTGTATAGTGGCATACAATGGGATTTGCAACGGAGTTTGTAGTAGTATTTGCTGCCTTTCAAAGCAACCTGCTGGAAACACTAGTAGAATAGAATAGAATGGAAAATATTAAAAATCCATATGTTACCTTAAGGTGTATTTATGCACTGTTGTAGTAAAGTGGTTAGCAAAAAAACTGAAGCTTCCCCAACCTCCACTATTTCCATCACCTCCAGTTCAGCATTTGAAGATCTTCATAGTATGATATGCACAGGAAGAAACATTTTGTACCTTTTGGTCTTATCCAGCCAGCCCCATTTGTCGTCTTTTTCTCACAATTCTGTATTTGTTTTTCCTTCAAACATTTATCCATTTCTGTTTTGGAAGTTACTCATGAATTTAGCTCCAATTCATGATTTTTTAAAAAAATATTTTCCTCCTGTTGCCTCTGGTTCTTTCACCAGCTACTTTAAATCTCTGTTCTCTGACCTTTCTGATGCTGAAAGCAGTTTATCTTTTATTCCAGAAATTCTCTTCTCGGTTTTTAAGCACTTTTGTCAAATTTTCTTCTAATCTATTGACGAAAGATCACTTGACCTATTCCTTTCTCCACAGGTGTTGCAGTGTTTGCTGAATATTTTCAGTGTATTCTGTTTTCATCTCCTTTTAGCATTCCCTGCTCCAAGGAGAACTACTCTAGCCCCTTCATTTGGCTGAATCTAGGTGTAGATCAACAGATTAAGAGCAATCCAAGTTAAGAGCGAGAGATAGAAGGAACAGACCATTTGGCCTTCTACCCTACTGCAACGTTTACTAAGGTCATGGCTGGTCTGATTGTGCCTCTAACGTATTCTTGCCTGTCCCCATAGTTGTTGACTCAGATTGTTGATCAACAATCTGTCTAATGCTGCCCCGAATATGTGAAATAACAGAGTCTCCACTGCTCACTCCAGAAGAGAATTCCAAACATCATAACCTCCAGAAAATAGATTCTACCTTTCTTTCATGTTAAATGGGACACCTCTGATTAAGATGTCCTCTCTAGATGCGGATTGTTCTTAAAGGAAACATCCTCTCAACACCTGCTCTTTTAAACCCACTCAGAATCTTGGATTTCAATAAGATTATCTCTCATCTCTTCTAAATTTCAAAGGGCAGAGCACAGACCCAGTAAAAAAGGGAAGAAAAGCAAATTTTGTGCAAATTAATAATAAAATCTTTTCAATCGATCTGACTGTCCTCTGTCCATGCTTTGGCGTCATCACTCAGACTTCATGACATAAGTTATATTCCTAGCAAGTAACGTTGACCTTTGGATGAATAAGGCACGAAGTAAAGTCAATACAGTGTGAAGTGAAGGAACACAGCAGATCAAGAAGCATCAGAGGAGCTGGAGATTGGGACTAGACCCTTCATTTGGGGAAGGTGATGGCCTGGTGGTATTATCGCTGGACTGTTAATCCAGAGACTCAGATAATGTTTTGGGGACCCGGGTTCAAATCCTGTCATGGCAGATGGTGGAATTTGAATTCAATAAATATCTGGAATTAAGAATCTAATGATGACCGTGAATACGTTGCCGATTGTCGGAAAAATCCATCTGGTTCACTAATGTCCTTTAGGGAAGGAAGCTGCCATACTTACCTGGTCTGGCCTACGTGTGAGTCCAGACCCACAGCAATGTAGTTGACTCTTAACTGCTGTCTGGGCAATTAGGGATGGGCAATAAATGCTGCCTGGCCAGCGACGCCCTCATCCTGTGAATGAATAAAGAAAAAAAAAATTAGGAAGGGTCTAGGTCTAGGCCCAAAATGTCAACTCTTCTGCTCCTCTGATGCTGCCTGACCTGCCACGTTCCTCCAGCTCCACACTATATTGACTCCGACTCCAGCATCTACAGTTCTTGCTATCTCCAAAGGCCTGAAGTAAACTCTGGAGGGTTTCACTCCATTTAGTTACTGGAATGTGTAGTATTTTCTCCCTACGATCCGAAGAATTGCTTTTTTACCTCCTCAAGGTCCGGAAAATCCCTGGTTGGTTCAGGCATACGTTCGTGCAGCTAAACATCCTTTTGCATCTGTTGTTGGTCAGGAAGTATTTCAGAGTGGCATCATTCCGTCTGACACTGATTTCCGAATCTATCGGGACTACGGCAACATTCCAGGTACAAATGTATCTTTGTTGGTGTTGTTTTTATACATAAAGTTAGCTCATTGCAAATCACTCTGAATCCCTAAGTATTCCATTTTCAAACATTCTTCCTCCTTTCTCCGTTTCCTTTCAATAAATCATTTATCTTGAATGCCTAACATTGAGTCAAGGAGTCTGTGAATAGCACTTCACATTAGTGCACTAGCATGCAATTGTATTCCCACTGTTCCCATTCTGAGCCGTTCTACATAGGAACTATGATTTCACATTCCCCCTTCAGGAGATGCCAGCTGGCCATTTCGTTGCTGAGATGGCAGTTGTGCACCTTCTTAGCGATCCAAAGAATGCGTTACTCACCTCAGCATCCTAGAGATACATGACGTATGTTATTAAGGAAATTGAGGCAAAAATGTACCATTTTTAATTACTTTCAGAGAAAGGAAGTGGTCAGGACTCCAGCTTGCCTATATTCATTATATCTTTATCATTGTTAAAATGGGACATAAAGTGAAAGCTTTTCATCACGCACTTATCAAGACTAGAACACAAATTGGACTTCGAAAGGGATCACCAATTTATACAGTGTTGATACAGTGTTGATGCAGTATTGATGCAGTATGCAAAGAGGGTGCTGGTAGCTGCACCATAGTTAGCTGATTAACCTCAAACCAGCCAGGTAAATGTTGCCATGGAGAAGGCAGCAGGGATTGGAAGTCTCCATAACCCTTTCTCAGTAAGAAAGGTGCAATCTATGCACAAAAACCCTTTTGCCTACACAGAAGAGTCCTGTGTTTCAATATATGTAGCTTCCAGCACAAGCACACAGATCCTAAATTAGTTTCCAGTATAATTTTCTGTACAGACTAGCTTATTAAAGAAATATTCTCCATTAGCAGAATCACATTTTATGCCGGACATTAAGTTTTGCAAACATGGGATGACTGAACGTGGTTGGCTTGCTGCCTGCTGCAGACAGTCAAAGGGACTTGGTGTTTGATGGAGTCCACCAGTCATACAGTCTGCATACCTGGTAACACTGGTATTTAAACTCATTGTGTGGGATGCTAGGCAAAACATCATCTTTTTTGGCTTGATGGCAGTGTCCTGTTCGTGGATGATAGCACCTGTTTGTTTACTGCAAGCAGCTAATTAAAATAACTAGCTTCACCAATTACTTAAACTTTTGAGATACCTTCACCTTCAATGTTAATCTGAGGTTGATTGGGCACCATTTAGGGCCTGAAATGCATCCATATGTTCTTTCATGAGTTTGCATGACTTACTGAGAGTGATGATTTGATCAGGGTAGCAATTATTGTATTTCATTCAGTCAGTTTGCAATACGTTTATCTGCAGTTGCTTTTCTGGATTGCACATTTCACTGATGAAGCTGTGAAACATTCAGATTTCACTACTCACCATTATACTGTGGTAATGAATTCTGTTCTCATCTGTTCATTTGAAAACAGTCATCTGAATATTAGATGTAAATCAGTTAAAGAAAAGCCTTTACTCTCCCTGTGCCATTAACCCAAACTTGACTGCAGTAAAAATATTTTAGATTGTACTCTTGTTAGTTTTCTTCTTTTTAAAGCACTGGATGCATTGTATATTCTGAGAGGATGTAAAGGTTTACTGTGTCACTGATCTACTTGGGAGTATGTTATAATGTGTATTCTTTTACAGGAATAGACTTGGCTTTCATTGAAAATGGTTATATTTATCACACAAAGTATGACACAGCAGATCGGATACCTGTAGATTCCATAAGGAGGGCTGGTTAGTATCCTATATATCCTATATATCCTATAGAACAGAAAACACTTTGTGTTATAATTAATGTGTATGCTTTGGAACCAAAATTTTCAAAATATGTAGCATTTGTAATGAAGCAATACTAATTTATTGAGCCATCAATTGCAATTTTAATCTGAGGAATTAACTTCACATGTAGTTATGTCTTTGAGTACTTTCTAATTATTGTGGATAATTAGATTCATTTAAACCCCACCTAGTGTAAACACGGATTAGTTTAATTTAGAATAACCAGATTTTACAGTTCAGAAGTAATCTTTTGGCATACTGGCCTTTATTGGCTCTAAAAGTTCTAAGCACTTAGACCCAATTCTCCGCCCTTTCCCTTCTTTTAAAATCAAATATTTATTCGGTTATCTTTGCAAACTTGTGGATTATGTTTCTACCACGGCTTGGTTCCATGCTATAGTAAGCAGTGTGCATTTAAAAAAAAAAGTAAACTTTTACTTAATTACTTTTATAATGATAAACTTACCCTTCTACTTAGCAGTGGATAGTTTATTTTCAGTCTTTAAGTGAATAATCTTTTTCCCATCCCAAATGTCTTTTGATCAGCAAAATTTCTCCAATGGCAGGCAGCTTGCCTCGTCAATACTTTCCAAGGCTATGCACTGAAAACATTTCTCTAAGTGTAAATGGTGCAATAATGAATTGCAGCAAAGCACTGTTTGTTCACTGATAATTCTCCCTAGAGAAAGTTGCACCATTAAATGATGCAATGATAATTATAGTAATTTCACATACATTCAACATTCCTTTTAGTGGTACTATCACTTTATCGGGAGAGGAAAATAAAATTAGATATTGTTCTTGTGACAGAGAAGTAATATGTGAACACTTTTCACAAACTACAAAATAATTCTAATTTTTAATTTATAACCTGCCCATAAGAATTCATTGCACTAAACATTAAAAATTGCACTGGCGTCTCTCATCTGTTAGAGTTCCTTTCTGGGAACTGAAACATTTTATTCATGTTTTGTCCCAAGCACCATGAAATGAATTCAATTGTACCATGCCCTGGTATTGTATTTTTTGGGACTTTGCAGTCACAAACTTAGCTGTTGGAGTTAGATTTGGTTGCAGATGCCTGATTTCAGAAATTGAACGATAGCCAGGAAATCCATTCAACCTTTGGCTTCAAGCCAGATACTCACCCAAGACAAAATATCCAATTGAGATAAGTGTGACCAAGGATGCCTCGTTAGGCCTTGTAATGACATGGTAAATTTAATCTGTTTTCAACAGCAACTTGTTCCTGAGGACTCAAGGTAACAATCAGTTAAAAGAAAAGCAATTTTCATGAGTGGCTGTTGCAAATGTTTACATTTTGATTGATACCTGGAATGGTCGGTACTCAGAACATTTACGAGGGCAGCAAAAAATGGTAAAGTTTGTTACCGCAGGAGAGTATGCTGCAAATGTTTGCTCTCTCGAAGTACTTTTTAAAATAGTGACATATTGATAGAGCTATAAACGAGATATCTTTGAAGAAATGCAAGCATATGAAAGTGGGCAAGGAAATACCAGATGGTTAATCAAGCCTGCCCTATCATGACTGGCCACTTCTCTACCCTCCTTTCCCACACCCATGTAACCTCCTGGGTGAAGTTTTAAAAAAAAACTCCAGGCCAATAATCAGTTAAATAAAACACTGGAATTTCTTTCAGGACATTGAAATTGATCCAGGAGATATCATAGGCCAGATATTACCAATAAAATCACCTACCTTTTATATAATCATGAAGTCCAGTTCCCCCTCCGAGGCATACAGAGGCTTGGCAATCATCACATCTTTCAACAATACTCAAGATGTGCTTGATTCTTGGGGAGTGGATAAACTGCGAAATTCCTAGCCCATCCCAACACAGGCACAGTTGCTCTGATCCTCACCAATCTGTTAAACTGAAATAACTGCGTTTCCCCTTAACAAAAAATACATTGAGAGTTCATATCAATTTAGAGAAATCTGCTTTGAGCAATATTGGAACTTGTCCTTTATATTTTAAGTGATTCCTCTGCCATATCTATTTATTTGCAGAATTAGGAAGCGGAAGTAATTAAAATCACTTAAAGCATTATTCTAAATTGTCTAATGGTCTTTGTAGGTGATAATATACTAGCTGTGCTGCAGTACTTGGCAACATCTGCAGAACTGGCTGACTCAACTCAGTATCGCCATGGGGCCATGGTATTTTTTGATGTACTTGGATTGTTTGTTGTGGCCTACCCACAACGAATTGGTGCTATAATCAACTATTTGGTGGCTGTGGCAGCTGTTGTCTACTTAGGAAAAAAATTCTCAATATCAGTAAATCAAGGTGAGTCTGTTCAAGTATAAACTTTTTTTGTGCAGTGTGGCTTTTTAGTTCTAAATATGTTCATCTTTTAAGGAAGTATAGTTGGAGTTAAAATAACATTGCAGTAAACAGTTGTGTTCATGTCACAAGTTAGTTGTATTCTCTTTTGGTTAGAAGGTTGTAGGTTTAAGTTCCAGCACAGGACTTGAAGACAGAACCCGAGCAAGTTTCGCATATTCAGAGATACTGCCCTTTGTTTGAAGCATGAAAGAAAATCTGCAACTGTTTGTTCAACTGTTTCAGTTGGACTTTAAAGATCTTTCATCACTGATCCAGAAAGACTGTAGTTTCTTACAGCGCACTGTACAACTTTTCTACTCCAACCAACATCACCTATAATATATTAATCAGTCATCAGTTTCTTTGATATGATGACTCATGCTGTGGACTGAGTGACTGTTTTGCTTGGGTAATCGCAGCACTTCAAAGTAACACATCGTTTGTGAAAGGCATTGACACATTTGAGACATGTGACTAGAAGCTTTTCAAATACAAATCTTGACTTTCCTTTTGAATTACCTGTTTTCACAAGGCGTTCAAGATTATGAAATAGTATCAAGATATTTCATCACCTGATTGCATGCTGCAGAAATGTCTTTATTTAACCGGAATAATACTGCAATATAGAGTGCAGAAAATGTGTGGATATTTTTCTTTCCTACATTAAGACAGTGCTGACAATTTTGTTAAAGACTTATTAACATTATAGATTTGTGTTGTGCAGATAAATTTGAGAAGTTTTTTTTAAATGACGTTTTCTTAAATGTGCTTAGGGTATATATGTACCTAAATTTAAATACTTTTTGTTTTGTGAATTAGATTATAACCTCAAATGTACTTATGCCAGTGGATAATTCTGGAACTCCATCAATGAGACAATGAACAACAAATGGTTCCCTGGGCTGTGTTAAGATAGCTAAACTCAATCAAGGCAGCATTGTAGATATAGCTATTAGCTTTGATCACATCTAATGTAGAACACCAAAATTTGTCAATATTCCTACGTCTGTTCCTGTGGCGAATGTGTATGATGGTCTTTGAGGTGAAGTCATTAGGCTGGGCTGTAAATTAATAGATTAGAGACACTGCATAGCAGAAGTCAGCAAAGAATGGACTAAAAAGGGGAGAACAAAACACATAGAAGTATAGTAAACATGAGCTCATCCAGACCTCTGCCCATATCCAAGCTGTCAATTAATCCTTTTCACCCATGTGTTTGTTGATGCACATTGGCAGCCTGTGCACAATACCTTGATTTTTAAATTCTCACCCTTTGTATGACTTTGCCCCTCCCTCATCTTTCTAACCTCCACCACTCTTCTAAACACACCCCCAAATACTATTTATGTATGCTGTTCTATTCTTAATGTTAATTATTAGAATTTAAATGGCATTAATTATGTTTCTGCTAATCCTGCAAAGTGTAACTGGTGTGATTATTTGCAGGATCGCACTACAGGAGGGACCTCCTCTATGGAATTGCTGTCACAATAATCTGCTGGTTTATCATTTTTATAACAATCCTTATTGTAGCAGTATTTGTGTCTTTGACTGGGCATGCAATGTCTTGGTACTCCAACTTCTACGTTTCTGCTGTATTGTATGGGTCAATAGCCCTTGCAAAGCTCATACTGATTCATACACTTGCAAAAAATCTTTATTATGGAGTAAGTATACTAATTATTCTTTTAGTTTAATTGATTTGCATGTGTTGTTGGTAGATGTCGATTAATATTTTTCTCTTCTATTTCCTCCTCTTGTTTCTTTTCCTTCATATCACTTGAAGCCTACATGCCTGATCTAGTACTAGACCTTTTGGGGTTTCAGTCTGCAGAATATAATGATATATAATTCTTTCCTGCCACCTTGACTTTGAAGAAGTCAGGGATGGGGATAGTAAGGAGAAAGAGAAGAAAAGAATGCAATTTGCAACCAGCTTTTGACCGGTGTATTTTATGAGCATATTTATGACCAAGCCGGAATTCAGGGCTCATGAGCACATATGAAGTAAGCTAGAAGTTCCTGTTTGTGTACACTAGGGTGACTTAACCAAAACAACTTACTCCAGTCTGTATGTAACTCTAGAGACAGATTATGTCCTTTGTATTTTGTCCAGTTCAATAATATTCAAGGGAATCATGTGTACTAAAGGTACTGTGGACAAGAGTCATAGGCTTATCTCCAGGGCAGGGCTTTGAATTAGGAAACATTTTTGGCAGGTTGGCATTCATTTGTTTTCATGGGAACAGTGAACTTTAATCATGGTCACTGCAGCTCATTAATTGGTCGATGTGATATTTGTCTTTAGTTATGTTTGCTGTTGTCATACCAAAGGATATGGTGGGACTATACTGAAAATGACCCATGTACATAGTGATTTAAATTAACCAATGTTAAAACTAAATTTTGAGTAGTTTTATTTTGTATAGGAATGCATTGTGTCTGAGAGAAAAAAGAACTCCATTATTTCTCTTTCTTTGTTACCCACTTGACCCAATAAGGCCTGGGAATGTGCATCTGAGGTATCAACTTTCATGCACGATCATGACTGGTTTAACCTGTACTTCTTGAAGAAAAACTTTTAAAAAATGTTACCAACTTTAGTCTGAATTCTGCAAATTTAACTGCTTTAATCTGGATCATACTGGGTTGGTGTGTTGATATTTGAATACGAATGTAGATTTTTTAACATTTTTTTTTAAAAGTGTCAGACACTGAATCTTCACTGTGGCAGGTAGTCAAGGTTTAACTCAAGAGCAGTTTGTGTAGGTAATGCGTTATGTTTCCCTGAATCTCTAAACATTGTAAAGAAAAGACTGTGAAGACACTAAAGTTAATTTTTGGCAGATATCTGACTTGCTACTAAATTATCTTGTTTGTATGCAGGCCATGAATGAGGTATACCTTGCTGAACTATATTTCGATGTTTCATTAACAATCTGGTGCTGTACTTTGGTTTACTTTACCCAACGTGCCTTGTGCTCAGCCTATGTCCCTGGACTGTGGGTTGCTTTTCCTCTGTTTGTGAGATTAATGATTGGGAAGGAACTGGCACAAAAAGGTAAACTCACATGGTTTGTATTGTTTGATGAAATAAATACACTTAAAATCAAGAAATACTTTACCACACTTTTCACTTTCAATATTTTTAATTGACCTTACATTGTGTTGTGCACCAAAGAATCCTGCAGCTATCTCTGCTTGTCTCCCATACTCCTAGCCTTACTGTGTTCTTCTCTAGAAATTTTCTTTGACTTTCTCCCAATCTCTGACCTATCTTGTGTTGCCTTTTATGTAGAGCTAGATTTGGGATCGCCTCACAAAAGAAAATTTTTTAGTGTAGAAGGCAGGTGTTGCATTCAGGTACTGAAATTTTTTGCCATCTTTCATACTCAAAATCAACTAATATGGATTCAGGAATATTTGATGGCTTGGTTTATACATTTGTTAACAAAAGGCCTTGGCATTCACAATATACCAGCTTTCGTATTATTCCAGCAAATTATTCCTAGCGTCCCATGTGAAATTGAAATGGAGACATAGCAGAAATTCACATGATATTGGACCATTTTCTTGTGCCATTGACTGGAACAGGAATAGGTGGTGAAGGGAATAAAGATTGTGTTTGTCACCAGAAATATCAGTTATAAAAGTTAAGTAAATCGTTGTGATCGGCGTTCTCATTTTTAAGAGGGGTCCATAGCTGTTGAAACCTTCTGCAGATATATGCGTGTGCATGTGCTTTCTAAGACCGAGCAGAGCAGAAAATATTTACCCAAAGCAGGTGTGATGCAAGTTTTTTTTTTTATTACCCATGGCTGCTTCATCCTTTTTTGTAACTCGTTTGTTGGTATGAACTGGATAATGCCACTAATACCTCTGGAGGAGAGATGCCAAGAATTACCATAACGAATGAGAGTATGTTAAAAACCAGCCATGCCAGTTCACTGATGAGGCTTTCGATGTTGGCCTTTCAACATCAGGTATAGTATCTCGGTCCTGGAGGATTAGATTCTGTTCAATGGCATGAGAATTTTTTGCTAAATTGATGAGGGAAACATCTATCAATTTCAGTAGACGTGCATTAGTTTGCAGCAGTCAGGTCCAAGTCAAACCAATATTTCAGTAATATCTTGAAATCTTTTGAATTCATGGCAAAAGGCTCAAACAACTGATATGTACTGATCAGTACATTAGACATTGAACAGAATGAAATGTGAGCTTTTCTTTTCAATCTACCATCTCTGTGGACTTGAATTGACAATATTATAAACAATACTACATGAAGTCTAGCTTGACAGAGTACTGCCTCAAGAATCTTGAGGAATTTGGTGAGTGAGAAAAATTCAAGGATTGATCTCTTTTCTAAAATCTAATCAAATTTTTGTATTTAGCATTTAATCGTAACTTGTTGTTTTGTTCATAGTTTTTGTCAGTGCTAAATAAGTTAACTACTAGTGGCATCTATGCAGTTACTTAATTAAGTGACTAGTCAGCAGGGCATGACTCTGCTCTTTGTAACATTTTCTAGTTGAAAAAAGATTGAGGTTTTTGCTTCCACATGAAATAAGCAGCATAGCATCTGTCAGTATGACAGTTGCCGAAACAACCAACAGTAAAACCAGAAGAAACATCTTCCCCCAAAGCATGATGAGAATGTGGAGCTTGCTACCACAGGGAATGGTTCAAGCAAACAGTATCAGTACTTGTAGGAGAAAATAGAAAGTGTTTGAGGGAGAAGGTAATAGATGATTACAAAAGTAGACTTAGAGGAAAGATGGGAGTGTTCTTGATTGGAACATAATCACTGGCAAGACCGAATAGCCTGTTTGTGCTGTATATTCTAAGTAATTCTTATGTAATGCAGTCAGTTGATTATTCTGCTACACTAGCCTAAAATGGGTTCAGAACTGCACTATAATGAGTAGATGAATATATCCAAGTTCTGTCAAAAAGAACCTCACACTCCAGATTGCTTCCTGTTATATTGACTTTGATGTCATAAGCTGATCTGAGACTAAGTTTGTCATCAGATCTTTACAGCTACTTCAGCTACTTTCTCATTAGCTGAATGTTTTTGTGAAAGGTTAATCATGTTTGACCAATTGTCCATGCCTCACTATGGAAGCGCACTGGAAATCAATTCCTGTTATTCGAGGAGTTGTCACAAAAGTTGAAGATTTTATAAGTAAAAAACTGGGGAATTTTGATCTTTTATTTTAAGATCAGGTTGACAGAAAACACAGACCATGTTTCTGTACTTAATAAGCATTACTCTTTATTACAAATTAATAGTTTCTAAATAACTAGCTACATGTCAACAACTATGAACATTGATATGTAATTTTGTGTACCTTTTCCTTCTGTTACCAACTTAATTTGGGAATCTTCCTTCTACCAATCATTTGATTTCTTTAGCTTCAGACATAAAATTGTCCTGATCTATTTTGTTTGTCAGTGGCATCAAAATGAGGAATTGGATACTTCATTATTCCTTTCATCCTCTGATGCAGCTGAAGATTGTCTGCAGAATTGTTACAAAAAGCAGAGGCAGAAAATCTGAAAAAGAAGCAGGAAATCCTGCAAATTCTCTGTGCATAAAGCAGTAACTGTGCAGAGGAACACATACCTTTTCACGTCATACCTTTCATCAGAAGTTGGTCAGTGTTGGTTCTCGCCATTATCTGAGGCTAAGAAAGCAAAGTTGCCTATTTTTATTTTGCCTGCAGTCATTCAATGCATTATATACATTCAGAGATTTACAGCACAGAAAAAGGCCCATTGAGTGTATCCTGGTCACAAACAACTGCCTAACAATGATAATACCATTTTTCAGCATTTGGCCCGTAGCCTTGTATGTATTGGCATATGTTAATTGGGCGACACAGTGGCTCAGTGGTTAGCACTGCTGCCTCACAGCACCAGGGACCCAGGTTCGATTCCACCCTCGGGCGACTGTCTGTGTGGAGTTTGTACATTCTCCCCCTGTCTGCCCAGGTTTCCTCTGGGTGCTCCGGTTTCCGCCCACAGTCCGGAGATGTGCGGGTTAGGTGGCTTCGCCATGCTAAATTGCCCGTAGTGTCCAAGGGTGTGTAAATTAGGTGGACTAGACATGGGAAAAACAAGTGTTACAGGGAAAGGATAGGCAATGGGTCTGGGTGGGATGCTGTTCGCAGGGGCAGTGGGACTTCTGGGGCCGAATGGCTTGTTTCCACACAGTAGGGATTCTGTGATTCTACAAATTACTGATGGGGGTGAAAAACATTTGAGCTTGATTATCCTTTGCTAATCACCAGATAAAAATTGAGGGCATAATCTGTTGCAACCATCTTTAGTATTTTGAAAATAAATGAAGTGAGGTAGGTATGTTTTCCCTAAAAATTAGAACAAAAATGCCGAGAGTGTCATTATTCAGTTGGACACCTTTAGTGTAGAAGACCATAATTGGTCCCTTGTCTGGAACTACATGAAGCAATACACTTATCCACAGGCTTTAATTATTGTGTATCAGGATTAAATCTTTTTTATTGACCACTCGTTTTTCTATGTAATATTGTCTTTTCCTCAGAACCACGGGAAAAATGATGTTGGTTTTTTGGGAGCCAAAGAGGAACTTTTTATTCAAGATGAATTACGTTGTATCTTAAATGTTTGCAGATGTGTGTTGTATTTCTGTCTTGATGATATTCGTGTGTACTTTTTGTGCATCTTTCCCTACAGTTGTGAGTTTTCCTTATTTTCTGACTTTTCTTGTGGGATACAAGTTCTCATGGATACTGAAACAGTGAAATAAGTAGTCTGGTGGGAAAGTGTTTGATGGCTGGATAAATCTGTGGGGTGGAAGAAATACTTGTACATTTTTAAAAAAGTGTAATCATAAGTCATCAGTGCTTTTTTTTTTATATGGTTTTGTCTTTTTCTGTTTTGACCTAGGTGCTACAGTGAAACTGACAGCAATTTATTTTCTGGGTCTATTTATTCCTCACCTACTGACCATGTACCTGTTTTGGGGTGCATTTGAAATGTTCACCCCCATCCTGGGACGTAGTGGTACTGAAATACCTCCTGATGTTGCACTGGCTTCTATTATTGGAACCTTCACTATTATTCTAACTACCTACTTTGTAAGTCATGTTTCATTGCCCCCTCGAATCTTTTCAACACACTCTTGAATTCAAAGGGAAAAAATCTTTTGTGTTTTGATAAACTGAGCTGAAAGTAATAAACAACACTTCTTTAAGAAACAGGTTCATTAAAATTCCATTTGTAAACAAGTATTTGTGCTTCACTACTGAGCACGAACCATGAATTCAAGAAATAAAGTGGATATTTGCATTGGGTTTTACCATGCAGAAGCCATTCATTCCACCCACCAGATCTTGATGCTTTTTATGCACTACATAAGTTGCCTCCCATCTTGTTCATCTCCCCTTAGTAGCACACCTTTCTCTTTTCTTCCTATTTTTCTTTTAAATACCACTGTGATTCATTAGAGAAATTTTGTGATATCCTTTTAAATAAATTTGTTTGCTTTTCCTTTGGATACTCCTGCATCATTTTTCTCCACCTCCTGTCCCCAACTCTTTGTTTTAAATCCCCCTTGCTCTTCAATTAAACAATGACTTGTCACTAAAACAGAGATTCCAATCATTTATGAGGACAAACAATATATGTTTTGTGAAAGCATTGAAGAGGTAAAAATGATCGTTCTGGTGCTTGGGTGAGTGCAGTGGGACACTAGGAACGGATTATTCACCAGCATCACAGTCAAGTTCAATTATACATATCCATGTATGCCAGTACATTAATGAGTGGAAGATAAAACAGATTATCAATCCCCGCATCCTTTCTCTGCCTGAGGTGCTTTAATTTAAAATTGAAATTTTACATCTTTGGCTAAGTTAGTGTCATGATTTGAGTTTTTGGTCTGGCTACTCACTAAATATGTTCTTGTTTTTAGGTGAGCCTGGTTTATCTGTGCAGAAGTACAAAATGGACTCTTTTGGGTTTAGGGATTGCATTTTTGGCTTCAGCCACTCTGGTGTGTAGTGGAGCATTTTTTCCATATACATCTGACCCTGCTGGGCCACACCCTAAGAGAATCTTTCTTCAGGTAAGAGATGTTTTGAGGTTATCGCGTTACAGCTGTAGGTCAAGGAAAGGAAGAAAAGCCTCATTTATTTTCTTTCATGACTTCACAACATCCTGAGGCACTGAGAGCCAATGAGATAGTTTGAAGAGTAGATCTACTTGTACTGTAGAAAATGTGATAGTCAATTTGCATGCAGCCAGGTCCCACAAACAGTAATCTGATGATGAGCAGGTAATCTGCTTCTAATAAATTTTGATTAGGAATGAATATTAGCCAGGACACTTGGGAGACAGCAGTCAATTACTCTCCACTCCCACACTTCTGACCTTTTACATCATTTGTTAAGGCAGATGAAGTCTCAGTGTCTCAAACCAAATGTAGCACTTCTGAAATTGTAACATTCCCACTGGCTGTGCTGGACTTGTAGTCTAGATTGTGGTGGTCAGTGTTGGAGTTGAAGCCTTCTAGTTCTAAGGGTAAGAGTGCCACGATTGAAATTTAAAAACAAAACTGAACATAGTGGAATCATGCAACAGGTCTGACAGCATATGTAGAGAAAGAAATAATTAACTTTTCAGATTGCTGACCTATGTCAGAACATGTTAAAGATAGAAATATAAGAAGGTGGAGGGGCAAGAACAAAATGGAGTGTCTGGTTATGTGGGAAAGTAGGGGAGTTGTTAAAAGAATGATAATGTAAGGGAAAAGGAGATGTTATTTGAACACTTAGAGATAAACAATAGAGTTATAACTGGGAATAACAATCATCAGTTGTGTTGGCAGGTAAAGTGTACTTGGCAAGTTGGCTATTGAGAAGGAAGGGGAAATGAATAAGGCAGATTGTACGTGAAAGGGTTAACATCAAAAGAGAATTTCTGCTTATCAAGACATAGGGAGGAGCCAATTAGTGTTCAAGTTCAGTATTTAGTCTATGCAGCTAACAGTAATGTATACTTGCTCTTAAGTTCTAGTCTGAGGCCTTACAAAGGATTGGCACAGAGCTGCACTGTAATTTAACTAGCTATTAAGTACTATGTAATAAACCGATTCTGTTTGTGAGCACTAAGCCTCCCTTCTGTCATACGCTTTGCATGGACATCCTTCCCCATTTGGTGTCAGTAACTTAGAGTAGTAACAATACAAAGGATTGGTGGCAATCATTTGAAACCATTGTTGATTGTCGGAAAGACCCATTTGATTCATTAATGTCCTTTAAGGAAGGAAACTGCTGTCCCTACCTAGTCTGGCCTATGTGTGACTCCACTCCCACAGCAATGTGGTTGATTCTTAATTGCCTTCCGGGCAGTTTGGGATGGGCAAGAAATGCTAGCCACATTCTGCAAATGAACTTCCATTGGACATGACCACACAAGATACCTTGTCTGCAGAGCTGGTATTCAAAAATATACCACATTTTAAATTGTTACAGTTCAATAGGATTTAAAATAGACACAGAGTGCACTCTATGTTAGTCACGTAGCATTATGTTAACAAAAACTGACGCTGGGTGAAAAAATATGACCAGCCCCTCTATGTCATGGATGACTTGACAGTTTAATATGAAATCTGTCTTGAACTGTCCCTGATAATTTCCACATCACTACACTTTATGGGGTTAACTTTGACCTTCACCCTTTGGCTGTCAAACTGGCAGAGCAGATTTCCCACCTGCCCACCATGAAATGAAAAACTGCAATAAGTGGATGACACCCCACAAAATTTTAGCCAGGTGGCAAAATGAACAATTTTTTGGATAATGTTAGAAACTAGGTGCAAATAGTATGAATGCTATCTTTTGGATGATTCAACTGTGAGATTAACGGAGAACTAATAAGTATAGATGCTCATTTGGTATATTTGCCCGACATAATGGGCTACAACTTATAATCTTTAAACCTGGGACTTGTACCATTAGTTTAATAAGAACACCTTGCCACTCTTCCTTCATTAAATTTATGCTACAATATGAAACAAAAACAAATTGTTGGAGAAACTCAGCAGGTCCGTCAGCAACAGTAGAGAGAAAACAGAGTTAACGTTTCGTGTCCAATGATCCTTCTTCAATGTTAACACTTTTCTCTCCATAGATGCTCCAGACCTGCTGAATTTCTCCGGTAATTTCTGTTTTTTGTCTCAGATTTCCGGCATCCTCAGTTCTTTATTTCATTTTTATTGCTACAGTATGTTTTACACTTCTGTTGCATTGGGCTTGAATTTGCTGGAGTACGTCCATTTAGTTGGACTTTTTCTTGAAACATTCAGCTGAATTTTTTTGTTCTGTAAATTGTTGGACGTGAGTACTGATAAAACAGTGAAGGAAATCAAGTATCTGGGATCTTGACAAACAATGTTACCAACAGGATTTTGCCTATCAGTATATTTCTTGTGAGCAGTGAAACAACACATCCCCTCAACTATTCGCAACCAGTCAACTATTGACTGTACCCAGTCAGCCCAACAGAAACACCTAAGGAAGTGTCTAACATTAAATGTGAATCTATAATTGGACAACATTTGCTGGATAATCCTGAATTTGAGGATTATTCCATTATTACTGCTTCTTGAGGAATTATACTGGCAACCAATTTAGGATTGTCAGTTGGTCTTGCAGTATGGCACACTTGTATGTACTGGAAACTACATATATTATTGGGATTGGTTTAGCTCAATTGGGTAGATGGTTGGTTTGCGAAGCAGTATGATGCTGACAGCATGGGGTCAATTCCCACACCAGCTGAGATTACCTTGAAGGACTCTCCTCCTCAACCTCTCCTCACCTGAGGTGTGGTGGTCCTATGGTTAAATCACAATCTGTCGTCTCTGTAAAGAGAGAACAGCCCTGTGGTCTGGTAAAACTGTTGTAACAGGATATAAGGTCCACTTGGAACCAATCTGTACTCTCTTCCCATGTGATATATCGTGTTGGTTTTCTTCTTGAATTGGTATTCTTGCAAATTGTTCTGTTGAGTGCGTCAGGAAAAGTTTCAACAAAATGTTTCTTTTTTTCCCTAGTGAAACTAATCATAGAATCATTTCAGTGTAGAAGCAGGCCATTCAGCCCATTGAGTCCATACCACCCTTCCAAAGGACATCCCACCTAGACCCACCCCATTCCTGGAATTTCCCACCCTAGACACTATGGGCAATTTACATAGCCAATCCACCTAACCTGCACATCTTTGGACTATAGGAGGAAACTGGAGCATCCAGTGGAAACCCACACAGACATAGGGAGAATATACAAACTCCACACAGACAATCGCCCGAGGCTGGAATTGAACCCGGATCCCTGGTACTGTGCGGCAGCAGTGCTAACCACTGAGCCACCATGCCGCCCTAAATTAATTGACATTGTATTAACAAATATCACATCACATCACATCAGTAGAGTTTGCGCTCTTGAGCAACTTTACCTATCTTTCTAATCAACCTTTTCAGAGGTGTGAATTACATAGCCTTGGAGCAGGTTGAACTTGAACATGGGCCTCCTGGTCCATTGGTAGGGACAATACCACTGCCACAAAAAGGCCGTCTGAGTTTAGTGGACAATTAATGTGCAATTCCAATACTCCAAAATGATGAGTGGCTCAGATTTGTACTACTCCACAGCAAATCTTGGCGATTCACAACTCATGCCATATATCCTAGTCCCATGAACTTGTTGCTGACATCCATGACTCTGCATTGTTGACAAACACTAATTTTACCAACAAGATACAGCCCATTTTATGTTTGGAGAATGAGGAAGGGAAATTAAGTAAAGTGTACTTTCACTTGAGTTAATTCTTATATGCAATTTGGTATGAATCTGAATTTTGGCACAACTGCTGTTTTATTGCACTTAGCAAAATGTTAATTTCTCTTACTCTTCCACTTCAGCATACAACAAGGATGTTCCATGATCTTAATGGAGAAATAAGCAAGAGAGATTCAGGGATATGGATTAATGGATTTGATTATACTCTTATGTCCCATGTTACTCCACATATACCTGAAATAAACAATACAATAAGAAGTTCATGCGAGAATGCCCCTTTTTGTGGTTTTCCTTGGTTTTTACCTGTCCACAACCTTATCAGGTGAGGATTCCTCTCTCAAATGTTGTCTCTTGTTGGGATCAAATGTAGACGTCATGATATAAATTTGCATTTGTCATGTAAAAATACTGTTGTACTAAATGTAACATTTTTATTCATTGGCTTCTTACTGTTGTCCAGGAAAAACTGGTACTTGCCTGCTGCAGAAATTTCACCCACGACACCTGTTGATTTCAAACTGATTTCCAAGTACAAGATGCCTTCAGGATCTACAAAATTGAACTTTGAGGTGACAGGTATAAAAACCACTGAATGTTAGCTTTTGCATCAAGTACAATCTGATATTCTTAAGTTGTTCCTTACGACAGATCATTAGTGTTCCTACAAGTTCTGCATTTAATGGAAAAATCTAAGCAACAGAAAGGAACGAGGATTTAAAATTGAAGAATCATGCAAGGTTATTGACTTGAAGCATTAACTGAGTTTTTCTGTCCAAAGATGCTTTGACAATATTTTCTGATTTATTTCAGATTCCAGCATCTGCACTTTTTTTAACTTTCAATGAAACTCAAGACTTGGCATCACCAATTCTACACCACTTTCTTTAACTTCACATCTCAGTATACACGTTACTGTACATACGATCAAGAAACAATAATAGGCCATTTGGCCCTTTGAGCTTGCTCTGCCATTCAATAAGATCATGGCTGATCTGATTTTAATGTTAACTCTATAGTCCTGCATAGCCTTGATAATCTTTCATGCCCTTGGTAATCAAGACTATCTTCCTCTGCCTTAAAAATATGTATTGTTTATGTGTGTTTATAGAGCTGTGAGCTAGTTGTTGTATGCAACTTTAGCTGTCTTAATGTTTAAAAAAAAGTTCATCCTCCGTATTTTGCTAAAGAAAACTGTTAGAACAAGTAATAGACATTTTACTATTCCCGCAGAGATATTAAGAACTGCCGATGCTGGAGTCTGAGATCACAGTGTGGAGCTGGATGAACACAGCAGGCCAGGCAGCATCAGAGGAGCAGGAAAGCTGACATTTCGGGCCGGGACAAGGGCTTTGTCTCTCCTTGTCTCCTTATGTAAGATGTACTGGCATTGGAGGCTGTCCAGAGAAGGGTCACTAGGTTGACAAGGGTCCTGACCCAAAACGTCAGCTTTCCTGCTCCTCTGATGCTGCCTGGCTTGCTGTGTTCCTCCAGCTCCACACTGTGTTATTACTACTGCCGCATTGGCTTTGTTGGCTCTGTGATATGGTAAGGTATTGGAGGCAGTCCAGAGAAGGGTCACCTAGGTTGATCCAGGTATGGAGGAGTTGTCTTCCGAGGAGAGATTAAATAAATTGGGCCTGTACTCATTGGAGTTTGAAAGAATGAGAGGTGACCTTATTGAAACATGCATGATTCTTAGGGAACTTGACACAGTAGGTGTGGAGAGGTTGCTCTCTCTTATGGGAGAATCTAGGACCAGAGGGCATAATTCAGAGTCGCTGAGTAAGGATAGAGATGAGGAATTTTTTCTCAGAGGGTGGTGAATCTATGGAATTCTTTGCTACAGAGGACTTTTAAGGCTGGATTGTTAAGTATATTCAAGGCTGAAATAGTCAAATTTATGTTCATGAAATTGGGGTTATAGGGAAATGGCAGGAAGTTAGAGTTGAGGATCATCAGATCAGCCATGATATCATTGAATGGCAGAGCAAAATTGCTTTGCTGAAAGACCTACTTCTGCTCTCTCCTTTTCATGGCCTTTTGTTATGAATAGGATCAAGTTGTATGCAGGATGTATTTGTTTGAACGCCCTGAGTGCCCTTCGGGTGTTGCCTTGAGTAATTACTGTTAAAAATTAAGATGTTAAACATTGCTTTACTTGGCTTGTATCATAGAGTCATGGAGGTATACAGCACAGAAATAGGCCCTTCAGCCCAACTCGTCTATGCCAATCAGGTTTCCGAAACAACTAGTCCCACTTGCCTGCATTTGGCCCATATCCCTCTAAACCTTTCCTATTCATGTACCTGTCCAAATATCTTTTAAATCTTATAATTGTACCCACCTCTACACTTCCTCTGGCAGCTTGTTCCATGTACACGCCATCCTTGATGTGAAAATGTTGCCCCTTAGGACCTTTTTAAATCTTTTTCCATCTCATCTTAAACTATGCACTCTAGTTTTGGACTTCCCTACACTGGAAAAAAGACTTTGGCTGTTCACCTTATCTATGCTCCTTGTGATTTTATAAACTATCGGTTGGTCTCTGACACCCCAGGGAGAAAGTTCCCAGCCTCTCCTTATAGCTCAAACCTTCCAGTCTCAGTAAACTTGCAAAAAAGATTTACTTTAATAACATCCTTCCTGTAGCAGGGCAACCAGAATTGTACGCAGTACCCCAAATGTAGCCCCACTAATGTCTTGTGCAGCGGTAACTTGATATCCCAACTTCTGTACTCAATGCTGTGACCAATGAAGGCAAGCGTGCCAAACACTGCCTTCACCACGCTGTCTACCTGTGATGCCACTTCCGAGGAACTGTATACCTGCACCCCTTGGGGTAGCTGTTTAACAATACTCCCCAAGGTCCTACCATTAACTGTGTAAGTCCTGCCCTGGTTTGTCTTACCAAAAATGCAACACCATGCATTTATCTAAATTAAACTCCATTTGCCATTCCTTGGCCCACAAGCACAGTTCATCAAGATCCAGTTGCACACTTTTAGATAACCTCCTTTGCTGTCCACTATACCACCAATTTTGGTGTCCTCTGCAAAGACTAACTGTGCCTCCATATTTGCATCCAAATTGTTTATATACGTGACAAACAGCCACAGATTCAATACTGATGCTTGTGGCACACCGCTGGTCACAGGCCTCCAGTTTGAGAATCAACCCTCCACCACCACTTTGTCTCATACTGTCAAGCCAATTTTGTATCCAGTTAGCTAGCTCTGTCTGGATCCCAAGTGATCTAACTGTGCTAACCGGTCTACCATGCGGTACCTTGTCGAAGGTCTTGCTAGAGTTCATGTACACAACGTGTACCACTCTGCCTCGATCTATCTTCTTGGTCACCTCTTCAAAATCTCAATCAAATTTGAGGGATACTATTTCCCATGCACAAAGCCATGCTGACTATCCGTAATCAGTCCTTGACATTCCAAATGCATGTAGATCCTGTCTCTCAGAAACCCCTTTAACAACTTGCCCACCATTGATGTTAGGCTTACTACTGTGTAGTTCCCTGGCTTCTCCTTGCAGCCTTTCTTAAATAATTAGCCTCCCTCCAGTCTTCTAGCACCTTACTCCTGGCTGTTGATGATACAAATATCTCCGCTATGGGCCCCGCTATTTCTTCCCTAGCCGACCGTAATGTCCTAGGATACACTTGAGGGGCTGTGGATTTATCTACCTTTTGTATTTTAAGACCTCTAGTACTTCCTGTTCTGTAACGTGGACTCTTTTCAAGATATCACGATTTCCTTCCGAATTCCCTAGCTTCCATGATTTTTTCCACAGGACAAGAAATATTGGTTTAGATTCTCACCCTAGTTACTCTCTTGCCCATAATACACTTGCAGAATCTCTTTGGTTTCTCCTTCTCCTTCACCTCTCCTGAAGCTTTCTCAATGTCCCCTTTTTGTCCTCCTGTTTTCCCTCTTAAGTGTACTCCCACACTCCCTAAACTCCTCAAGCAATTCCCTTGATCCTAGCTGTCTCCTTTCTCTTGAGCCTGAATATCTCTATTCAAGTGTTCCCTATTTGTGCCAGCCTTGCCCTTCACACTAAAAGGAACATGCTGGCCCTGAACTCTTAGCTTGCTCTTGAAAGCCTCTCACTTGCCAGAAGTCCCTTTACCTGCGACTAGCCTCCCTCAATCAAATTTTGAAAAATTCCTGTCTAATACCATCAAAACTAGCCTTGCCCCAATTTAGAGCTTCTAGATTAGATCTATCCTTTTCCATAACTACTTTATGGTCGCTGGTCCCAAAGCATTCCTCCACTAACTCCTCAGTCAGTCAGTCACCCTGCCTTATTTCCTAAGAGGAGGTCTAATTTTGGCCCTCATCTAGTAGGGCATCTACATATTGATTGAGAAAATTTTCCTGAACACACTTAAATTACTCCCCAACCAAGCTGTTAACGCTATGGCAGTCCCAATCTATCTATGGAAAGGTAAAATCCCTTACTATTACAGCCCTATTGTTCTTACAGCTATCTGCAATCTTCCCTACGTATTTGCTCCTCAATTTCCTGCTTACCACTGGCCATCAAAGTGATCATCCCCTTATTTTTCAGTTCCACCGAAATAGCCTCACTGGACAATCCCTAAGGAATATCCTGTCTAAATACTGCCGTGATGCTTCCCCTAATCAAAAGCGCTGTTCTTCCTTCTATCCATCCCATAGCATCTGTACCCCGAAACATTGAGCTGCCAGTCCTGCCCCTCCCTCAGCCATGTTTCTGTAATAGCCAAGATACCCCAGTCCCATGTACATATCCATGCCCTGAGTTCACCTGCTTTACCTGTCAAACCTCTTGCATTGAAATAAATGCAGTTTAATTCATCAGTCTTCCTTTGCTCCTTGCCGTGTTCTTCCCTGCCTAATTGAGAAGGGGATAACCATGGGAGACTCCTGCACTACCTGCCTGCCTACCTCCCCTGGCAGTCAGTCCTCTGCCTAACTGAAGCTGCTGTTGTGACCACCTCCCTGAAGCTATTATCCATCACACTGTCTGCATCCTGTATGCTCCTTGGTATGTCCAACTACTGCTCCAACCAATCTATGCAACCTGGACCTCTTTGTTGCTAACTGTCAATGTGACACCAACGCCTCAATTTCTCCACACCCCTCACCCTCTCCAACCTTTCCTCCTCTGAATGTGCAGCATTCCACTCTCTCCGCACCAATCCCTGCTTCACTATCGAACCTGCTGACAAAGTTGGGGCGGTGGTAGTCTGGAGGATGGACCTCTGTTGCAGAGGCCAAACACCAACTCTCCAACACCACTTCCTGCCTGCCCCTTGATCATGACCCCACCATGGCCCGTCAAGTCACCATCTCCCACACTGTCCATAATCTCATCGCTTCCGGTGACCTGCCCTCCACCACCTCCAGCCTTATAGTCCCCAGCCCCGCACTGCCCAGTTCTACCTGCTCCCCACGATCCACAAGCCCGACTACTGCAGCCAACCCATCGTCCCCATACGCTCCTGCCCCACCAAACTCATCTCTTTCTACCTTGACTCCATTCTCTCCAGCTTGGTCTAGGCACTCCCCACCTATATCTGGGACACAAATCACACCCTCCACCTCTTTGGAAACTTCCAGTTCCCTGGCCCCCAGTGCTTCATCTTTACTATGGATGTGCAATCCCTATACATGTCCGTACCCCACAAGTCCAGCGTACAGGGCCTCGGTTTTTCCCTCTCCAACAACCAATACTCTCCTCCACCTTGCCAAACTAGTCCTCACCCTCAATAACTTTTTCTTCAATTGTTCCCACTTTCTCCAAATCCAGGGGGTTGCCATGGGCACTTGCATGAGCCTCAGCTACACCTGCCTGTTTGTTAGTTAGGTCAAACAGTCTGTCATCAGTACATACACCAGTACTGTTGCCCAACTCTCCCGCTGTTTCATCGATGACTGCATCGGTGCTGCATCCTGTATCTGAGCTGAACCAGAGCAGTTCATGGACTTCGCGAACAACTTCCACCGTGCCCTCAAATTCACTTGGTCTGTCTCAGACACCTCCCTCCCCTTGCTTGATCTCTCCGTTTCCATTTCTGGTGACAGTTTATGGACCAACATTTACTATAAACCCACAGATTCGTATAGCTACCTAGACTACACCACCACCCACCCGATATCCTGCAAAAACTCCATCCAGTTTTCCCAATTCCTCCATCTCGGTCACATCTGCTCCGACAAGACGTTCCACTCCCAAGAATCCTGGATGTCCACCTTTGTCAAACAAAGCTGTTTTCCCCCCTGCTCTGTCATCCAGATAGCCCTCCACCATTCCTCGCTCCACAACTGTTAACCACCGTCCCCCCTCCAAACATAATAAAGATAGGGTTCCCCTTGTCCTCACTTTCTACCCTACCAGCCTCTGCATCCAACGTTTTAACCTCAAAACACTTCTGCCAACTCGAATTAGACCCCACCACCCAGAACTCCTGATGTGTTCTTCTGTACATTGGTGAGACCAAACATAGACTAGGCGACTGTTTCACTGAGCATCTTTGCCTGGCCCGTAATGGCCAACCTAACCTCCCAGTCACTGCCCATTTCAACTCTTCCCCCACCCCCGGACATGTTCATTCTTGGCCTCCTCCGGTATCACAGCGACTCGCAATTAAAATTTTAAGAGCAACATCTTATCTACCGCCTGGGCCCCTACAGCCCAGAGGACTCAACATTGAGTTCTCCAATTTCAAATAACCTTCCCACCCATCCCTCGGCTCCCTTTCCAGCCCAACCTCCTCCCTTCTATTTCACCTTCTGATCCTTCCTTCCAGCCACCAACCGGATTCATCCCTCCCATCGATTAACCAGGTAGTACCTCCTACCAGTGTCCACATATCGCTACCATTCCACCACCCACCTTCCCCTAACCCCTCCTTATCTGCAGCTGCCCTATCCCCACATCCAGTCCTGAAGAAAGGTAATAGTTGAAACATTAACTTCTCCTATCCTGCAGATGCTGCCTGTCTTGCTGTATTCTTCCAGCCTCCTGTTTGTCTACGTTGGATTCTAGCATCTACAGTTCTTGTCTCTATGCAGGGTGAGGGGACTTGCAGCGGGACACGTTTCTTGCAGACGTAGTCACCAGAGACTCATGACTGCTCCCTGATCTCCCACGTTTGTAAAGAGGAGCATACCACTCCACTGACTGCCATCTCTTGCTCCTTTTAAGAACTAGTGTGTTTTTTCACTGAACCCCCTTTAAAGTTTAAGAACTTTAGAAGACATTTTTAAAAGAATAAATAAACCAGATAAGTCCATACCATTGCTAAATCAAAGACTTACAAAATAGTGGTTTAGAAATACCCATCAGGACTTACCAATTAGTTGCTCCCGTTTGTCCCACTCACTTTCTGAAGTGCTACATTTGGTCTGCTCCTGCCCCCACTAGACCTGTGGAAGTTGTAAGGAAAACAAGACGCAGCAATGCTCCTCCATTTCCCTAAACTCCCACACTGTCACCTCAGCTCCTAGCCTTTCACTCTCTGCAGTGAGCACGTCATGCTTGTAGCATTTTTAGGCCTTGCTTTTACAATCTAGGCCTACCCTGCTTCAAGAACCAGATTTAGCCAATTTACTTAACCAGCTTAATTAGTTGCCTCCATGTGCTACAGCATTTGGATAGCTTGTTTTAACGTTCCTTAGGTCTGAAGGAAACAATCTTAAATGTCTACCCTTCCGTTACTCTCAGTTTGATTTTAAGAAGGTAAAAGATTAAGATTAATGCCCTTAAACTCCCACAGACATTTCAGCTCCCAGCATTTCATTCTCTGCAGTTAGAACTCTGTAAAAGCAAAGTGGGAGGGAATTGTTTAGAAAAAGAATCTTGTTTTCAGTAATTTTATTTGAAAATATAATGCATTGTAGCTGAGTATCAACAGATTCACAATTTTTGTTTATGCCTGTCTATACCTTTCCATTTATGTAGGTCCCAGTCACATGACCCTTTACATTCGGCCACTTGAAGGATCTCACCTGATCCAATCATCTTTTGGGGATGGGACCTCTTTGTACAATAATTATGGTGATTACTTTGTTTTCTATTCCCATGGACTAAAGGCTCCAGCTTGGCAATTTTGGTTGGAGATGCAGGTAAACCAATTCATCCCCAGCAGCCTATATGCTTTGCCTTTCGGTATGAATTGAAATAACTGGGGTGGGAAGAAAGCATAGGACTTGATGCAAATTTGTAACTACACGCGTGCGCTCTCTCTGTCTCACACACACACCTTTGGCTGAATGCACTGATGAAGATGAGCCCTGACGGAGAATTTAGAGATCAGAATTATTTCAGATGGATAAAACTGCACTACGCTAAAACTGATGTTTTTTTTCAGCTGAGATAGCAGTGAATGCATGTGGGACCTCAATCTGTACTTTTCCTCCTTCCTTTTTTCCTTCAGTTAAAAAAGTTTCTGTAGTGCTCTTGTCCCTCAATATCTCATTCTGTCTGCCCACAATGCTATAATTGACATCTCAGGTTGAAACCTGTGGCATGTTTGATGGTGAGGATCATTTAGTCGGTGTTGGAGGGAGGTGGCGTAAGGACCCTGCCAACTCCACTTGATTAAATCTGGTGTCAGAAGGCTCTTGCCTGCCCTGCCAGTATTTGAGGCCCTTTAAGTGGAACATTAATGCCCTGTAAAGGGCCTTATCCTGTTCCTGCCGGTATTCAGTCAGTGGTGGGTAGGACAGTACCATATGGGGAGCCCAGTGAAGTCACAAGAGGCTTGCCGGGTTGGGTGCAACTCTCACTCAAAGGCACTTTGTACTTTGATCAAAGGACTTGTAGAAAGAACCACTTCCTGCCCTTGCTGCTGGTCTAGGGCCATGATGGTCTGATGATCTTAGACCTTGTGTGGCTATTCTAATGGAAGAAGCCACTGCCTCCTCGGTGGCAATACCATTTTGCAGCTGCTGCCCTATAGTCCACAGCTCTTGGAAGATGGAACTTTGACCTTGTATTGTTGAGCTTTCCAATACAACTAATACAATTCAGTCCAATATATTAGTCTTTTTTACAGTGATATTCTTGTGAATTGTCTGATTAGTGCAAGATGAAAAGTTTTGACAAAATGTCTTTCTTCAGCAATACTTTGGATTCTATTCATGAGTCTGTTCTTAATGTTTTTTCTTGATAGAACTTTAATAGATAAAATATGAAAATAATTTTCATCCGCGATATTCTTCCTCTGATTTTTTTCATGAACTGGTTCTTTTTCAGACACTCGACCCGATATCTGACAGTATGGTTGTTGTCGCTATAGCTTCTCATCATTTGTTTGGAGAAGATCAAAAAACAGCAGAATTGATCGCTCTCGAGCAGAGATTTCCTGAATGGTGCGTTGTGTCCAGTTGGTCCAGCTCTTACAACTTGTTTGTCTTCTAACACTCGGATTAAGTAGCTACCCTAGATGGAGGTAACTCCATTTGAGCAAAGTATGGCGTGGCTGGTCCTGGGACAAAGCGAATGTACTTCAAAGTATACTGTAAGGTGGTGCATTTTCACTTGTAAGATCACAAAGTATCTTGCATGCAAATGATCAACTCAAATGTCAGTAAATAATTTGCTAAAAATATTTATATTGAGGTTGCTCAGTGTAATTGTCAATGAGGCTGGTGTTTTACATGTGAAGAAATGTTTGAGCAAGTCTGAAGCAATAGACAGCTGCTAGGCTCTCCTGGTCTAAAAAAAAATCTAAATCCTCTTCTTAACTCAGCACAATCTTCCACAGCCAGCCTCTTAGTGCCCTGGCACCTTTTGGACCTCCGGGATCCTTGTTCATTGTGACATGAAGATCACTCGAATGGGTAAATAACTTAAAAGGGTATGAATGTAGATGTGCACATACACTGAGTTAACTGTGTTCTCTTGGTATTCATGATGTATAATGAATACATTAAACAAAACATAGTAATGTGTAATTCAAACATTAATGTAAGTTGAGTGTAGTGAATATGAACAAATGAGGTGATAGTAATGTTGGTATAAAACAAATTAACTAATCACCTCTACTTTCTTTCAAATGCAAAGGATTTGAAATATATGGGCCAATTAATCAAATAATAAGTTGGGATATTTTCAGTTAATTGTTTTCAGGGAATTCTTGAAAAACCCAGAGGATTAAAAACTGCCCCTCATGATGACTATGGGTTAATTGCAATATTGCTGTTCATGCTTCTGGTAATAAAATTTAACAGGAAACAAGTCTAGTGAGTAACTTGTGTCACCATGAGGTTACCTGGGTGTTATCTTGTAACAGGGCTAGCTTTGTTTTCTTCTCTGTCTGACATGTCTGAGTGGGGTAGATCGAGAAGACTACACAAGTGGACTTGAACTGGTTCTCAGCCATTGGTGCTGCAGATAATCAAATTCACTAGTTGCAAACAAGCAGGCCACAATGGAGATCATCTCAACACTAGGGCTGCATGAAATTTTGAACACAGTATAACATAGTACAGTGCCAGTATGTGTATATTCGGATGTACATAACGCAAGTTCATTAAGAACTCATCATAATTGATTCTCTTTATGGTCTGGAACCATATTGTCATCTTGAATATAGCTTGATAGGCATTACTGTTAAAACCAAACTACTGATGGACAGGAACTCCTTTTTGTTCCTCAACTCGTTTCATGTTTGTATGTTCCTCAGGGCTCCTTAGCACGATATTGTACATTGATTTTACACTGAGCACTGCTTTGGTGGTTTACATTAAGATTTCTAAATAGAATCAAAAGTAAATTGTTTCCTATGTTATTTCAGTATGAAATTTCTTTTGTACTGATCTATCTTTCAGGTCTGAATCAAGTGCTTAATATTTAATAGGACTTTAATAATGAAAATGGCACTGATCATTGAGTTTAAACTGGAACAAAAACAACTTACATTAAATTGGTGTAAATGACTTCCAATGTTTTGGTGGTTTTATTAAGGTTTTATACATATTCAACTGTTGAAAGTCATCAGATAATCTTTGAAGGCTATCGATTGCCTACATACATTCAAGCTTTTTAATGTATTTTCCCAATCCACCGCAGCCAATTTGTGCATCATGCTGTAATAATTTCCCTTATTAATTTTAACATCCTTGCTTCAGAATGAATTACCTCTTCCAGGCATAATGTAAAATTCAATCATATTGTGATCACTCATTTCTAAAGGTTTCTTTAGAACAAGATTATCAATTATGCCTTTGATTACATAATTCTAGATCTAAAATAGCGTTCGTCTAGTAAGCTTCTCAACATGTTGCTCCAGAAAACAATCACCAGAATACTGCACAGATTCATCCTCCCACTGCTTTAGTTCAGAATTAGTTTACCCAGTCTCTATGCAGATTGATGTCACCTGTGATAATGTTGCCCATGCTATATGATTCTCTCATCTCCTAATTAATACCATGCCCCACTGTACTGCTACTACTATTTGACAACCAATAAATAGCTCCAACCAATGTCTGCTGCTCCTTGCTTTTTCTTAACTCCACCCAAAGAGATTCTACATATTGTTCTTCTGATCTGAAATCCTCTTCTACAAATCTAATAATCCCATTCCTAGTATCAGCACAACTCTAAATCCTTTTTCTTCCAGTATGACCTTCCTAACTATCAAACACCCTTGAATATTCAATGCCCTGACCTCGTCACCATGCAGCCATGTTTCTATAATGGCAATTAGCTCAAACCCATCTATCTCAACTTGTGCCTTTAGATTGTACACCTTTTGTGAATTCTGCATGCATATGTAAAGTGCTTTATTTTTCCTGTTTTCTAGTCCTGTAAGCATCATTTTGACTTTATTTTAACAACGTCCTTCTAATTTGGGTTACCTCTCAGGTTCCCATCACCCTGACAAGTTTGTTTCAGCCCACCCCAATAGCAATAGCAAATTTCCTTGAGAATATCAGTACAAGTCCCATCTGCCCTAGAACCAGTCCCAATTCCTCAAAATCTAATGCTCCCCCCTCCATACTAGTTCACCAGCGACACATTAAATTGATCAAACTTCCTGTTCTTAGATTCACTAGCATGTAGGACTGGGAGAAATCCTGAGATTACAGCTCTTGAGGTCCTGCATTTTTATTTCCTTACTAACTCCTTGAGATCTGCCTTCAGCACCTTTATCTGTCTTTCTACCTTGTTCCAATGTGGACCATGACTTCTGGCAGTTATCTCTCCCCAAGAAGGATGTTCCGCAGTTACTCTGTGACATCCTAGACCCTGGCATCAGGGAACATATTACATTCTGGAGTCACATTTTCTGCCACAGAAACACCATGAAGTCATATTTAACCCTACACAGATGCTGTCAGGCCTGCTGAGTTTCTCCAGAACTTTCTAATTTTATTCTTTCAAGGATGCCTGGAATAAAGAGGAAATAGTGGTCACCTGTTCATGGAATATTTATTATGGTCAGTGGTTAGCACTACTGCCTCACAGCACCAGGGATCCGGGTTTGATTCCGGCCTCCAGTGACTGTGTGGAGTTTGCACATTTTCCCCGTGTCTGCGTGGGTTTCCTCCAGGTGCTATGGTTTCCTCCCACAGTGCAAAGATGTTCAAGTTAGGTGGATTGGCCATGATAAATTGCCCAAGGTGTTCAGGGATGTGTAAGTTAGGTGCATTAACTACGATAAATGCAGGGTTACAGGGATAAAGTTAGGGGGATGGATCTGGGTGGGATGCTCTTCGGAGGGTCAGTGTGGACTTATTAGGCCAAATGGCCTGTTTCCACACTAGGAATTCTATGAACTGCCAACCTTCCCAGCAAAACTGAAGTTTATACTTTATGAATATGATCATTGAGGCTGGATATTGAATAAATTAATTGTTTAGACCCACACAAACTTGCTGTTTAACAACATTATAATTTTTTAACATAAGTTTGATAAGCAAATACAAGTTTTGATATGCTACATGTTGTGTTACAGGATGAGAAATGTATTCAATTGTGCAGCTGATTTGCCAAGCAATCAAAAATTGAAATGAGGGCTATATTACGATGAACATTGGTTAATGGCAGCAAGTTGCTACTTCTCTCTGGTAGGCAGTGCAGGCAAATTGGCCTGTGGAGTGAGAATCAATTGGCCTGTACAAAGTTAAAGTCACCACAGTTTGCTGCTTCCCAAATCCTACACATCTGAATAAAATTAAGATTTGTATTTCTGAAATATTAAAGGCTTAATGTCACAGCAGTAACATCTCATTTTTCAATGACAGTAAAAACCTAAAAATAAACGGATCTATTGTGGTGTTCTTCCATTAGAACAAAAAAACTCTGTGTCAATTATAAACTGGGTACAGTTTATTCAGTACTTATCCTCTGTTATAACCTAAGCCTTCAATATTTATTAATGTTTTCTGTTGTATTGCTGTTTTGGAATTTGCATTTCTATTTTGCAAGCTTACTTTCACTCTTTTGCGTATACTTAAAAGGTATTTTGTGTTTGGGGGAGTCCCCTGACTCCATGTTAGATTTCTGTGTGAATCACATCTTAAAACTTTCATATCACGATACAAATAACTGGGTCACTCCCAGGTCTCTGGAAATTCTGCTGCTGCTTTGAATACTAGGAGGATTGTGACAGTCTGTCCATTTTCCTCCCTACTTGTAAGGGATCACCATATTGTCATTCTGATTACCTTTGTAAATAGTCTTGTTGGAGATCGTAGATAAATGGGAAACATGGCAGAAGCAAAGCTGAACATTTAAGAACAGACAGAACAGGCGTCATTGTATTGAGGGAGAAATTTTGGTACAAACTGTTTTCACTCCTTACTTTGACATACCGAAATAGTTTGACTAGTTAATTCTGCAGTTACCGCCCTCGTGGTGAGACTTGATAGTGTTAAGCCTGCATCTGTAGAGTTGGAAAACCTCCTGCCCTGATGTCTTTCATGGTGTTTGCTGCAGCCCAAGCAAAATAAGCTAATCAAGAGGGAGCTGGTGGTTAGATACCAACCATCTGAGCTCTATCCTGAATGTTAGGAAACAGGTTGGACCAGGAGTCAGTGATTGTAGTAAAATGATATCCAGTGATGGCCGAAATGGCATACGATTAATGAAATGGTCCCTCCTCACCTGAAGAAATGTAGCAATTCCAGTAAAACTGAGAGAGACAATGTGGGTGCTGAAGGAAAAGCTGTGGAGGTTCCCTACACCACCTTTGGTCAAATTAAATTTCAGCTGGGTGACTAACTTGGTGTTGTATGTTGCAACATGATGTTCTAATAGTGGGGAACCTATGGGCATCTTCTCAGATTATTCAAGACAACTGCAAACTGAAGCATGTGGAAGCCACCCACTTTGTTTTTAGTTATTCATTGCAGGGTTTACTTTGGGAGTTTATTACTGTGGCTTGGTTTAATGAGAGGGTTATTTATGAGGAGCTTTAATGCTGGAGTGGGGCTTTTCACGGGACATTCAGAGGAGGGTTGAAGTGGTTTTTAGTGCAGAGATGGGAGTTTTATTAAAGCAGTTCAGAGTTGACCTGGATATTTCAAAAAAGTGCAGTTAGAGCTTAAGTGCATATTTTATTGAAGGAGTTTGGGGTGAAGTGGACGTTTTGGATCACAAGAAATGAGGAAAGTGTTATGATGGTCAGTCATGATAGTACAAATTTTTAGAAACTTTTAAAAATTGCATTATTAAACCTTGAACTTATTTTAGAGACTTTCGAATTGGAATCAGAGGGTCAATGGACTTGTTGAAGCTGCAATATTTGTCGACTTTCCATAAGATTCCAACTGGCTTACAAATGAACATGTCTAGATGGCAGTTCTGTGGAATTTCATGCCTACAATATATGTAGAAATGGTAGGGCAAGCTGCCTAAAGAATCAACACAATGCGAGGAACATCTTGACATACCTTCATAGAAAGATAAGAGCTTTAATGCTAGGAGAAAGAGACAGCCAGAAACGGTTAGTGGTCTGCTGTAACCACTTGGGCAGCTGAAAGAACCAGAGAAGAAACAACCCTCTCTCTATATAGTTCTATCTGCAAACCTTACTTATGAAAGAAACCTCTGGAAATTCAACTGTAAAAGCCATCACATATATTGAGACAATCTTGAAAGACTTCAGACAATGCAACACCTTGATTTGGATGCAGGAATATATGTTTGCACAGCATCATGTCTACTATAAAGTGATAAAACAGCAGCTGCCAGAATCCTTACGAGTTTCTGTTTAAAGTTATTTTCTGGATGTGCGGCCTACACGTTTCCAAAGCTGCTTGGCCAGAAACTTGCCTGATAATGTGACAAATGACTGTCCAAACCCCTGCTCCTGCAATGGCCACAGCGGGTGCCGTCTGCACATGCACAGGATCATTTCTGCATTCAGAACAATCACTCTGCTAGTTTTTATCCACATCTGTAATTAATCTGTGGTTGTGTGAATGACCTTGTTTCTTTTGTAACCTTCAAACCAAGAGTATGAAATAATATTTACTCTTCCATTTCAGTACAAAAGACTGCTGGGTTCTTTAAAGTTGATCTTTACTCCAAGGATAGTACACACATTCACACACCAACACAATAATATTGGGCAATGTAAAATAAATACTTTAAAATTTCTGAGATAGTTTGGGCCTGCATCTGAAATTAAATCTGTTACAAATGAGCCATTAATTTTAAAACAAATTGGAAGTGGAAGGAAAAGGTAACAGAGGCAATATTGTCGAAAACAAACAAAAATCAGTAGCAGCAAACTTTAGAAAGCACTAACAATAGAACTTAAGATAGAAAAGATTAGGATCCTTAAGCAGGATGGTTGAGCAGACAGCCACAAGTATCTCAAAATGCTCACTCCAAATGTGGAACAGATAGAATCTGAACCAGACCAAATCCAAGTTATCCTAGCCAAAATACAAGCTGAGAATAGAACTAGAGTTTCAGAAAAAAG